ACATTTTTAATTAGGTAATTAAAAAAACAACGAAATTAGTTTTTTAGTATAATTTTATTTTAAATTATGTCTAATAATTTAATGCGATTGTTGAAATTGTATGTTATTAACCAGCCTTAAAATTCGCGGGTGAGTTTTTGTTAACGCCAACCTCATGTCATTCTCAACATTTAATTTATTTTTCTCAAACTCTCAACACATGATTCAACCAACTGTGACGGAATAGCGAACCTAGATTACACTTATTTTAATTTTTAAAAAATACAGTCGACCCCCCATAACACGATAGATACGTTCCGTTTTTTATGAAATTGATGTTTTAGGAATCCTTGCCAATCACAGCCCGACATGTGTGAAGTTTACGGACTACGGCTGCTTGAAAGGTTTTCTTCCATAAAATTAATCGATTCCTAGACTAATTCGACTCAACATTTCCAAAATACGTATATTTTTTGGGGAATAATCCGTATAAACTATGCTATAAACAAAAAATTGTAGGATTACTTACCGAGTGTGCACCGTTCGACGTCGCCATTGCTTAAGCTTGTTTTCGTCGCGGAGCAGCGCACCAAACGGCGGCCGCGATTTCTGATAAGTTATTTTTCTGCGAAAACTTCGTTGAACTTTGGAGACATTATTAATATAAATAATTTTTATGGCCGTTGAATAAGAAATGTTTCTTTCACAAGAAATGTATAAAATTAGTGCTGTATTAGACTTACGGTACCTAATTTACATACTGTACAGACGATAGTAAACTCAATTTACCCGCCTAAACTCTCCGTAGCGTGGCGCTGGACGGCGAAAAGTAGTTTGGCTGCCCGATGACGTTTTACCGAATTATAGGAGTTTTTTTTACCATGTTTATACGGACACCGTCGCAATTTTTTCGCCGTCATATAGGAATCCGAACTATAGGAACTCGTGTTATAGGGGGATCGACTGTATATCAAATTATTCAAACTTCAAGACACCATTAAAAATAAAAATTGCATTATAGTGAACATTTTTTTTTTAGTTAACTGTAAGTTGGCGACCCCACAGAAAGCCCGTCGAGACCCCCTTCTGGGTTGCGACCCACAGGTTGGGAACCCGTGTACTAGAAGATCGAAGTGTCTCCATACTGTAAGAGAACATTAGACCAAGAACAACTCTAATCTGATCAATATGGATTTGCTTTTACAGCAACCCATTTTCGAATGTCACCTTATTCGTGGAGTACACTCTTTCCTCTTATCTCGTAAAATACGGCTGGGTTTCGGGATGGCAAGATTAAGCTACGAGTTGCTATATTTTTNTTATGGCAAGGCAACACTTGGGCCATTTGCGTAGGAGAATGCCTTCAGGGAGGTTTTTTAAGAGTAACTGGCCCCTATTCTAGCGTTACAGACGTCAAGAAAACCTGAAAAACTTTCACGTGGCCAGCCCGTCCTAGCCACGCGTGAACCACGGGGTTTGGGCTTGGCCACTGGTGGACTACGTGTTAAGGAATTTGGTCAGTTCAAAATTCCAAATGAAAATTTTGTCCGAACTGTGAAATGGGCATGTTAACTCGTTCGTTCTACTAGAAGATCGAAGTGCCTCCATACTGTAAGAGAACAATAGACCAAGAACAACTCTAATCTGATCAATATGGATTTGCTTTTACAGCAACCCATTTTCGAATGTCACCTTATTCGTGGAGTACACTCTTTCCTCTTATCTCGTAAAATACGGCTGGGTTTCGGGATGGCAAGATTAAGCTACGAGTTGCTATATTTTTGGCCACTTTAAAAATAATTCGAGCTACATTTCGAGGAACTCTGCTTAACTTTTTATAAAAACCTATTTGGCAATCCTCGAGGTTCTCACTGGACACGTACCGTTTATCCGCAGTTTATTTCTATTATTATGAATTATTAAATGACGAAAATAGCGTTCTGTATACGTAGTTGTATTCCTTTACTTAATAAATTACATCAGTTACGTGGCATTTGGCATATTGTACGCAAATATGGAAATCTCGGATAATTTGAAAGTCGATAATTTGAAATGGCAATTATTTCGTCCCTTGTATAGGGTGTGCACTTTACAAAATCAATACGTGGCTCTGGTATTGAGCATATAGATAGGTGGCTTCCTGTTTCGTCTGTCATACTGAATTTACGTTGTTTAATTAAAATTTATTTTTTACTTATTTGGATATTATTGAAATGCCGGTTTAATTGTTGTGTGCCTCAGTGTAATGCCAATAATAAAAAATGGCTAGGTTTGAAATTCACAAATTTCCGAATGACCTAATAAGGAAAAAATGAGAAGTAAAGAAAAAAACTCAAAACAAAATCAGTGAATACACTCTGATCAGTATCAGGCATTTCGATGAAAATGATTACGAAGTTACTAGTATGGACAAGTTTATAGGACCCTATCTAATTTATACGTTTTATAAAGTGTTTACATTTATTTGATAACACTATATGATGTGCTATACTGTACAGTACTTACTTGTTAGTGCTCCTCACAGTTAGGTTATATGTTTGGTCAAATCTATGTCTAAAAGTACAAAATTCTAGTTAAACATACTGATTACTAACAGTATTTTGTATATATTTTCTTTTCATTAACTACACTTTGTAGCCCATTAATACCTCAATCTTAGTATAATGCATTTTTTATAATAAATTTTTATTGCATTTCTTAATAATGCTTTTTTTTTATAATTATATACTGTATTATTTAATAATTATGTTACGCATTGCCTATATTCAGGTATAGGACGACAAGAGCAATATCAAAAACAAAAGCCAAAAACTGTAAAAGCGTCAGTAATACTTTAAGCTACAATAATACTTATATAGCTTTCTAAAAGTTCTGCCTTTGTTCTTGTTGTCTTGCCAGCAGTGGCGTGCCGTGACATTTG